TAGTTTTTTGACAGATACTATCGCCCAGCCGGTTGCCAAATTATTCTATATGTCCTTGCGTACAACTGAGCTTCTAAGAGACTGAAAAGACGCTACAACCAGCCTTGCATTTAGACAGGCGGAACGGAGCTGGCATTGAATTGTCGTCCTGTTGGCTTCACTGACATACTTAACAGAGAATTCGAGATCATCATTGATGGAGTACACACCAGTGTCGAAAGTCATTGACGTCCCACGAACCAATAAAATGAGTTTCTTGCTGGTAAATCTTTCCTAACTAATTAATGTAATGGAGGCCGTGACAACAGGATTCTGGAAGATGCCGTGTTCACTGATTTCAGTAAGGTCTTTGACAAGTTTTCGCGTGTCGGACTAATGTAAAAGTTATCGGGCTTGGGTTCTGATACTACTATGTAGGCGGGGAGTAAGGAATTTTTACTCGATAGAAGGTTGAGAATGCGAGTAACTGGAGCACTATAAAACCTGAAACTCATGAGAAATGGGTTCCTCGTAAAAGAGGAGTCTCATGTTCTTTCCTTTTCTCGCCCTGTGTCAACGAACTCTCAGGTATGACCAAGTTGCCCGCCTTATTACTTGTGGACGATGTGAAAATATGGAAGGTCAGGCAGGCGATGACGACAGATGTGGACTACAAGCCGGTCTAGACGAGGCAGTCAAGCGGTTCAAGCATTAGTGTCTGGAAGTTATTCATAGCAAATGTGCAGATATGCGTATTTTTCGTGGCATACCCCATCATGATCTAACAAATCGGTCGCCAGTACCTGATACCCAAGAAACTGAAGACTTGTGAGTAAAACCCAACCACAGCTTGAATACGTCTGCACGATTCGTTGAAGCCATAGCAGTGGAGTCGCAGGTATTCTGGTCTCTCTGAACACCATTCTAACGTTTTGATGATAACATGCTCTGAATATCCTGTTACACCTTTCCACTACACCCTCTCAGACATTATGCTAAGATGGCTGGTCCGTGCTTCATAAAAGATGACATGACACTGCAGCAGATCTAAAGGCTCGGTAATATGTTGGTGACAACCCAGCTGAACCGAGGTACACAGAGCCAGTAGGGAGACACATCGGAAAGAAGATCAACAAGGATTCTGGATTGCTTAGTAATACACAAGGTGAAGCACTAGGAAATCCATAAATTAAACACAGATCATACAGAACACATTGTCGGTCGAAAATAAGGGGCACTTACCCACTAGATCCTGGCACTGAAGCTATTTATGCGAGATTTCGATCATTCACATCATTATTCGCTTGAAACCATTTGTGCTACCTTGAAAAACAGAAAGCGTGTATTGGAAGCTTGTTTTTCTGCTCTTGGTTTTTGGCAAATTTATAAAAGTGTACACACCAGTTTACACTTTCATGAATGTGATATTCACTGTTGGAATACTACGTTTGTTAACTGGTAAGTACCTCAGTTTTGCTTTACTCTCTGATTTATTCACTCGCTGGAGTGGCTTTGAGCGCGAAATGATATTGATTATCAGGAAACCAAAATTAATTATTTCCGGTTTAACTGTTATGACATGATAAAATCTGAAAAAGATTTTTCACCCCATTTTAATGACTGAGTAGCTCGTTTGTGCTTCACTCACGGTATTGGTCACATAAACAAGAAATATGGAATAATTACCTAGCTACTTCTCCTCATCGATATCGAACTAATATTTATTGTTTGAGAGAGCAAATAATGTTTTAGTTAGGAACTCGAGTTTTCTCCATATTTTGGCCTTCAGTTTTAAAAACCTCGTTTAATCTCACTAAAGATGTAGCGAGAAGTCATTTGAAGCCAGTCCAACTCTCAAGATTGATAATACAATATTATCGACATCTAAACGGTTAAGCATCATGAAGCTCAGATCCATAACTCAAGAATATGCTTATAGTCCAGTCCAGATTGAATGGATGTATGCCAAAATTGAAAATCATGTGTGCATTTATGCATGTATATATATTCATGGGATCTACAGCTCAAGGAAGTTTTTTGACTTAAATGACTGTACACCTTAACCGTGTCTCCAAGAGACTAGACGTGGAAACAATTATGCTCAAAGATAAACTAACAGAGCTCAATCTATTTTAAGCCATATTTTCTCCTACGATTTTTATATAGAGACTTACTGCTAGTGAGAATATATTTTGCCATAAATATGACATAAGCTATTTTCTTATCATTTTTTATGAGGCAGTAGGCAGGTTTGTAAGCTGTTTATTTGCAAGTATCCAGTATTTGCCTAGAAGCAATGAATCATATTGGAGGCGGTCACTCTTCTTTCATAGCTACAATCTAAATGACTATGTGGTTCCGATGTGTGTATCTAAATGCACCATAATGATATATATGTTGAATAAATTCGCTTGTACTTTGCTTTCCAAATAAACTAAGTGAAAACTATGTGACTGTAGCCAACGTGTCCTTTTACACTGCCCTGAATTGTAGAATTCATGGTGTAGGAGCCTAGTATTTCTAAGTTTTAAGGTGGGGAAGAATACTTACTTGAAGAACACGTACCATGTATCCCATACAATATGCTTTCACTAACATAGCTGCTCCATATTTGAGATGGAACTAGTTCAACTATTTCCAACAAAATCACTAAACCTTTTGTTTGAGCTTCCTTAATTATGCTAAGGAATAAACTTCGGGAAAAGGGACAGTAGGTCAATGACATTTTATAACTCATGCTAGTGGTAGTGTGCTGCGGAGATCTAATCTTGCTTTGAAAGTATCAATGGAGGGTGGAGAGAGTATAAGCTCCCGTCTAGATTTCCAATGGTTCACAACTCTGTGAGAGAAACTTATTTATAGCTTGATCGCTATCAATGAACTTTTTGGTGTTCAGTTTGATAAACGTTGCAATATGAAACAAACTTATTTGGTGTGCAAAGCATTATTACGTGTATCATCATACTGTGAAATGACATCAATGTCATCTCACGACAAATCATTAGAGAAAGACTTGGTGGATCCTGTATTTTTGGTAAGAGAACTCAGAGAACCCTTTTGATCATCTTGTTTCTTACTATCTGAATCCGTTCTAGTATGTCAGCTTCATTTTTGAAGCATGGTGTAGGTGTCCGAATAGCATATTCTAAATAAAGCCTGACGTATGTTAGTTAGATGAAAGATACAAACTATGTTCTCAATAAGGCCGTGAGACGTCTTTCTTCGGGATTTTTCTCATACCATCTCGTCGACCAATGTACTAGAGCATGTAGGCCGTCATATGATGGCAACATATCTTCATCACTTTTAGTAAGTTTTCAGAGTGTAACTTCTTCCACCAGTGTGAGAATGGGAGATCTAGTCGTTTCAGACAACTCATTCAAATAGGGTAGAGAAGGGATAATACCCTCGAGCACTTCACTATCTTTTATGGTTTCTACAAAAACAAATCTTTGACTATCTATACTTCAATGAGAATAACCAATGAGAATAGTTTTAGTGAGTGGATCCAACCCCCGAAAACAGATGCATGGAGTGATAAGGTCTCAAACTTGGGTGTTTAATTATCAGCTACCTAGTTGAAAGCTATATGCAGCGTTAGGCCTATAATGCCTTTGCTCATCTCACTTCTTCTTCATCCATTATAAGGGTGTTATATCTCAGGATAGTGCTGAGGATCGTTGATGAGGTCGTTTTCTTGTGGAGATCTAGATCTTCTAGTGATGGTTTTGCGGAAGAGGTAACACAATGTGAAGCCACTTGACTGGACAAAGAATATTCTTCTCGATAACTTCATCTTCATTCAGGTCCCACAGTGATATGTACATATTGAGTAATTATGCGTCAACAATATTGAAATTTAGCTTATCAGTTTGTTAGTAACATTAAACAGTTGAGAAAGTTAATTCCTAAAAGTTTTGTGTAAACATGAATGATGGAATCAATTGTTACTAGGAGTCAATTCAAAATAGTTGGTTATCTAAACGATTTTATTGCGAAGGTAATGCGTTGATGTGATAGTTTGATAAAACAATAGAAAGGTGTTTGTGTGAGCTGGATGACAGAAACTAAGAAACATAATTCGAGGAATAATAGCTCGATAGAATATCACTGATATTATGGGACAAAATAGGTTGACAGAATTTGTTGAAATTATTATTTCAGATTGTAGGGAATAACGGGTATTTGCAGTATGTTGTAGTTAGATTATCTGAAGTAGGATGCCAATGAATTTGGGCTTCTCAAATTGGGCGACGGTAGTTGTAGCAGCAACACTTGCTTGCTTCTTTTGAACACATGACTCAGGTTTTCTGATCCTGATTGCTACTGCTTCTACAGCTTGAAAGATCATATGCCGGGTACGTCTCGACAAGTTGATGGAAACACGGTAAAGAACGGAAAACGACTCATTCATATCCACCTTATGGTTCGTATCAACCAAGTGTACTAATATGGAGCTAGCTGGTAATGGTCTTTATCAAACCTTCACATAACCACACTGGAAGGTGTTCGCGAGCACAGAAAGTTGAATTGCTAGAGCGGTGGGAAACGTGAGTAGCTTTGTGAGAGCAGTTGAACTGATAAACACTTCAGGAAGTGGCCAGTCTAGGCGATTCATCTTTCAGTCTCGGTGTCACTATTGGGAGCGTGTTAAACGAAGTTTGTAGTTCTTCAGCATTAAAGGTTCTCTGAATGGATCTGAGTGGTTTTTCAATCGGTATCTCGGTGAACACGTCACTTCTTAGTTGTACCTGAATGTGTATCGGTTTTCTGCTACCCGTTGGAACATCTTTTCTTGCCACTTTTGTGATCATATGCTTTTTTAATGAATATATCAAGATAGACGTTTCCGATTAGTGTGTTGTGCGAAGTCACCAGTTCCTCCTCAACTGTGTTTTCTCAACATATAGCCTTTGTTCTGCAACTTAAAGTTCCTATTGAACTTCGTTTGTAGTGATGGGGAATGAATCTGAGGAAATGTGTACTTTTCCCCGTCCACATACTTTTCCCAAAGAAATTCCTCTTTATCCACCCATCTCTTCATCTTCAGAGAACAAAAGTCTATCAATGTTGAAATCTCGATAGATGTTCCCAAAAATTATTTCTCAGACGGACGATTGATGTTTACTCTAACGGTGAACTGAACAGACAAGTGAATGGAGTCAGAATGGGCTTGCCACTGCGTCTCATACTTGCGAACTTTTTCCTACGGAAACTAGAGAATGGTTTACTTGAGTGATCTACTAGAGGATTTTCATTTTAATGTCGACATATAGACAATACATTCATCCTATGCAAAAACAACACAGACGGGTCAAAGCTAATTAGCAGCGATGGCGTTTACATGTGAAGAAGAGTCACAAGGCAAGATAGCTTTTCTCGAACAAAGCCACTGATGGTAGAAAGTCGTGAAGAGAGTGGAAGCTAGGGAGCAAGAAGGAGTGAGACAATCCTGGAATTCACTATGACTGTTAGGATGGAGATAATGTGTGCATACATGTGAACCATTGAAATCTCTTCTAAGGTATGTCACTCACTCCATCAACACAATATAGATTGTTCTAGCTAATCTTCTCTATTTTTCATTGAGCTTCTTGTATGAATAAGTAATTGTTCTACAGAGTAACCAGTCAGTAGACGTTAATTTCGTTGCATAACTAGAAACTGACTGATACGAGTACACTTTGGAAGGGGTGAAATGTTTCTCTTCTTTGAATTCATCCACAACTCACCAGAAAGATGAAAATGTTTAGTAGCATTCTATCTGCATTTCAGTCACTTTCTGAGTGTATCTTGCCCTTCCCCCAATATTGAATCAATCGTTTTTCATAGAAGTTTATGCTTTTGTGACCTGAAGGTGGTTAGATTTGTGTATTATGGAGTCATCGGTGCACCATCCTGTGAAGTGTAAAACTAAAGCGAAAATGCTGTCTACTGCTCTCTAACTTCACTTGCTTTCCTAACTGATTAAATTCTCCTTTTACTATTATCGTTGAAGGGATATTCAGTAGACTGCATAAACATTTCATGACTCTACAGTCTTCGTATCATACTAATTGCTATGTTTGCGTGTATATATATATACCTACTATTTTAGAAGTGATTTCAGCAGAATTATACTGTTACTCTTGTACAAGTGCTCAGTCAGGTTGTGGTGATCCCATCGATGTCAGATTGATGCACTGGAAGAAGTGTTCTGGTCGACAATTGATTGAGAATTATTGTGTGAAATTAATTCAGAAAGTTGAAGGTAATACATGTTGAAGTTAACCTCTCTTTTCACGATTTTTATTAGAACAACTCTTAGTCAGAAACCCACGTGTTTAGGCGTAGTTTAAAATGACCGAAACCTGATATTTTAATCCTTGTGTATTGCTGAGCTGATGGTTTTGTGAAGAAGCTTATTGTTCAGCAAAACTGTATGGAAATACGCTTGGTGAAACGATGTTTGGAGGTGATCATTTTGAAATTCTAGGTTTTGATTACTTCTTGAAGTGAAGCAGTTTAGAAGACTACACAGTGGTGTTATTACCGGAGTGAAGTCATCAATGACTTTCTGTCTTGTCTTATATTTATGGGGGAAGATGAATTTTATTCAAACTATTTTCTACATGGATCACTGTGAATTTCTTCCCAAGAAATTGGGAAGCTAGTTGAACAAGGGTTTCTCCAACAGTTCATAGAAATACTCTCGAGTTAAGCGTAGAATACAAGGCACATGACTTGTTTGAAATGCGATTGCTTATTCATTAACAGTAGTGCCTAGTCAAGTGCAAACCTCGAATTGTGAGGTATCTGTGTGTGGGTTTATGGTTAATATAGAACTACCTTACTGAGAGTGAGTTAATAGTTCAAACAGCTAGTGTGTATCCAAAATAAACAAGGAGGAAAACTGAAATACAGGCGTATGTTAAAGAACACTGAGGTATTCTACTTATGCGACCACTCAACTGTTACCATTTTTGAAAATAACTTTTGTGCTATCTTTTCTCATTGTTGTTTACACACAGATCAAACTGTTGTAACTCGTGGTTGCCTTAGTGACCTGTTGCTGAATACACAATATCGTTTAGATATGCCGCAACTTCGTCGTCATGGTTACTGTGTGAATTCACGTGACTATCAACAATATTTACTTGGAAAATTAAAGGGGCAGACATTAGCTGAAACTGCCATGGGGCTATTCAGAGATGCGAATATGAATTTTAAACGCTTCTGCTATTGTAACGATTGGAATGGATGTAATCATGTAGGTGGTATTAAAGTTCGAATGGCTTTAATCCTGTCCATGACAGGATTGACAATGATATTGTGCACTAAATTGTAGACTAACATTCCAGTTATTTTGCAAGCATGATTTTTAATTTCAAATGCTGTTTTTTGTCTTCATTCGCATACTACATCTTCTGTTTAATAGTAGGCAGATTTTGTCTGCTCAAAAATCGTGTGGTTTGATATCAACTGCATAGAATAGTTCTGAAAAATGTACATTTTCACAAGGATTTTATTCATGATCTTATTATCTTAATAATATCTAACACTTCTTTCAATGAATGTGATATCAGTTTTGATTTCTTGCCCATTGGATGTGAGGTACTACTTATTATGTAAATAATAATTTTCTACAGTAAAAAACTATAGTGTGTTTTGTGATCTTTCATCCAATGAGTAAAATGCTAAATGGTAATAAGTCAGTCTTGGGGGAGTTTTTCAACAGTTTTTAATGACCAAAATTGTTATCAGTCATGTACTAATAATTAATATGTGTTAATCTTAGGAGTTTTGAGTTGGTCGGTTGTTTTGTGAATAGGCAGTAAGGTGTCTGTGTCTGTATACATAGGGTTTTCACAAGATTGAAAGTTTTGGAAGTGAAAGAAGAAATCAGTTATTCAACAGTTAGAAGGCTCATAAATAAACTGCTGTATCATTTGGATACTAATATTTCATGTAGATGCACTGTTAGATTGCTGCATTTTTCAATTTCATGATCCTAATTGAAGGAAGTTTTTAGCTTAGAAGCTCCATTTATGATATTCCTATTGAATTTCTCCTTCTATGTTAACATGATTTGTTAGCTAGTTTCCCAATATGGTGTTGTCATCTATTGATGATATGTTTGGAGATACTTTTCAGATTATACAAACACATGCATACACCATCTCACTTCCCCTCGAGGCCTATTGGGCACATGATCCGAGAATTTGTGATGGAAACTCATCTTAACAATGACTAGCTACATTCAATAACCTCTATGGATTTGTGAACACTAGCGTAAGTGAATAGAATAGGGATGTATGTACACAATTGAGCATGTTTGACAACACTCAAAGAAAGAAATTACATCATCTGTGAATTAAACTACATTATGTGATCTGGTGTGAATAGATTCTGATAGCCTATTGTATTGCATTGAGGAAGATGACTGTAAAGATTCTGTCGGACTACAAAATGAAAATTTTGAAACTAAGCCATCCATTTGGAAGGACTTTGTATCATGCGAATGTTTATTGTTGAACATTCGTTCCTGTGTAGTTTAAATGTATTGGACAGTAAATATTCACAAGATATGAAGATGCATCACAGCCACTGCCTTTAAATCATTGAATAAATATTCGGTGGACTTGAAGGTAATAAACCAATGCAGCCGAGATTTTGGAAGAGACTGACTATGTGACAAAGTGAAGGAGAAGATAGGACTGGCACTACCGAAATTTCTTTTCGTCATTTTCATACTACTCATGAGTAGCTGATGTATTTTAGCACAATGTTCGAGCAGTTCAATGTGGGTAAATTCCTAATAAAACTGACTTTAAGTAGTGGATCAGGCCTGGAAAGTTGGTTGGTGAGAACACATAAGCATGTTTACTTTGGGTGTGCATCGCATTTGTTAGCTTGTGTTTTCGTTGATGCTGGTGAGTGCAGTGCAGTGCAAAGCAGTGCAGCGCAGAGTAGACTGTGCTGATATACTGCACAACTATGATAAATGACCATTGAAATCGTATTATCTGCTGATGACTTTTGCAACAAAATTTATTGCTCATGTTCTCATTAAGGCAATCACAAAAATGTTTGGCCTAGTTTTTATTGTCCTATGGTTTTTTATTCTTCCATCTAATTGGTGGTGGTGGAAATTTCCACATATTATTCGGAATTGGTGTTGCTTCATTTCTGTTACATTTATCAGATGTCAGCTATGTTATGAGTCTGTCTCTCTCCACCTACCCATGTTACTTTTTGAAATCGCCAATCTTTTCCTACCCATTGCACGGTTGTGAGTAACGACATGCCTGGCTATTGTTCAGCTGCTTTCTAAATTTCTTATCTTATTAAGGCGTACCGTTCTATATTTAACCAAATTTCTAGGCCTTGTTAACCTGGTTGACCCTGTTTGGTTAGTTTGACCGGTGTACTTGACCTCACAGTCATAAGAGAATCTGATGGACGAAATTCACTTACTTGATAGGTTTGATACGATCCCTTAACCGATATGGTTTTTCTTGAAGTGAGTTTTCAAGTTTAAGTACCGCTCTGCGTGGGGCTTCTAATCTCCCTTCTTCATGCAATTAACTATAAAGACATTGAAGTACTTCTCCGTAGCTTCATAATTGACACTGTTAGTGTCTACAGATGTCTTATCCATAGTACTCTTCCTAATATTCCTCATATGTTTTTGGATAAACTCATGGGGTAATCGCTGAGTTATATTGAATTGTCTGTGTTTCTTATCCTGACTTCGACTTTCTATCTTAATAGCCAGTCTTCATGCCCTGTTACTCTACTCAGGCATTTGATCAGGATTGCGTTGGTGGATATCGGATGAGATGACCTGAAGGAAGTCTAAGTGTCAACTGCACTTTTGTAGGTAGTAGTGACTAAATCTCCGTTTTGGCGTCGTTTGACTGGACAATCCAAAATCTCTGACTCTCCCATGTCACGCGTATTCTACTGGGGAATAGAAAGAACCAAAAATTCGTTTGTGATGACTTCAGTATCAAGGTGTGTAGTTGTGTTTATACTTTGTAGGAAGTCAGTAGATCGAGGGGAGAAAATTCGAGCGAGGTCATCACTGGAACAAGACTAATCTCAGTGGATAAAACATATGTTAGGTGTTGTCAATACTGTGAATTCTGTGTCTGTGTCTGTGTGTGTGTATGTGTATGTGTGCGAATGATGGCAATAGTTATAGCACAATTGATGAAGAAGGCTGAATGAAACCAACTTAGACCATGCTTGTGAATACTAAGATGGAGGATGGAGAGTATAAGCTATTGATAATGCATGATTAGTTTCAGCTGTTCATTACTTGTGGATTGGATTTCGAAAACATGATCACACGTGTGAAATATAACCGTGTAGGTTGCATAACACAGATTATCTACTCAATACTGATTTCAGAATTTATCAGATTTGCATACTCTGTAAAACAGTTACCTAACAGAATAGAACAAGTATATTGTACTTGCTGATTTCAAATAGTTTTCTGCTGACGTGAAACATGTTTATACTGATCAACTAACTTCAGAGGAACAGATTTTACTAACCTTAATGGATATGATATGAAATAATGTTCCACCTACAGATAGTTTGGAAGGTGAATGGTTATCACCAGCGACGCTTCTCACTGCAATTCAAAAGTGCTCAGTAGCGTACACAAATACGATCACTATCAACTTCTTCCCTCCACAGTTTCAGTCATGTCACTAGTCAACTATGCATCGAAACATTTCAGCGTTATGAAGGGAGCTGTTGTCATGGGACGAGGAAGATGGTGAGGAACCATTGAAAGTTTGAGATCACTGGACAACGCTGCTTCATCCTGAAATAGACGGCGTCAGCAGTGTATACCCTCAACCAATTGGGACAACCAGTCAAGAACTGTCAGATCTCATGACGAGTACACTAGCATTCAGCCATGTAGCAGCTGTCAGTCTGGCTTCCAGAATGACTGTTATGACCAGTGATTAACAAAATAAAACACTTTGATGGCCGTTTGAGTCTCACGCTCCGCTGGTATTTCGTAGTAGATATCCAGCATCGAATGCTCAAGTGAAGCTCAGAATCATGAAATGGAGACACGGTTCGATAATACGAAGTCGGAAATTAATTATAATGAAAAACTTAAACCTCAAATGGTGATGTATTTCCAGGCGTCTTTCAGCTCATCGAGACTATCGACAGTCAATATTGCATAACGAAATGCGACGTTATACTGGGAAGAGACAAACAGTATGTGGCTGTGTCAGTTCATCTAGGGAGAATCAATTTGCCTTAAAGCAAGAAATGAGCTCTGTATAATAGTCCAAATGATACAAAATGAGTGGAAAAGGGAGTTATGTGGTTAAATAAGAAGAGGAGTAACCGATGAACTGAAATGGACTTGTTCACGCTCAACGACCACCTCATTTGCATAAACATCTCAAGGAAAAACGAAGGTAGGTAGGATGACTGAGGGCCACGTTTTGGAGGTGATCAGGGTGAGAATACTTGACTACACTACAATCGCACACCAAGTGGATGAAGGAGTGGAGAAACTTACAAGTAGGGGACCTACTGCACACTGAGGAACCTGCATCACCCAATCATTTCACTTAAGCAATCATTACGAGTGTCGTCACTACTGACTCCGATGGACGAATAAGAAAGGCAAATGTGGGATGCCATCGGACGAGATATTCGTAGGCTCTGTTTTTTAGAAGGGGTGGATGGCAACTACTCCATGCCTCTAGTATATACAGTTGTGACGACAGTAAACTGTACCATTTCTGTATATACTAACAGGTAGTCAAGGAAAGCGATGCTGGCTTTCAGGGGATGGTGTTCATTCCCTCCCCACCTTGTGCCCACTTTCCCAGGCATCCATTCCTACATCTTTGGTTTTATACTATGCAATAATATTGAGTAGCTCAGTTAATGTCTTCCTTTTATGATACTTCTTCCTCACGTCGGCTGTCTACTCTCTTCAGTCATCATCATGTAACATCTCTAGGCATAACTAGCCTTCCCGGTTCATGATAGTATTGGTATTCCCTTCGTTGCTCCCTCATGTCACCCGCATGTTATCTTCAACATTTGCTTATCCTATGTCTTTACTTCATCGTGGGAACAAATGTGCGTGCATCATATTTCCTTAATGGCTTGCCTTGAACACAGTCTCGCTGTCGTACTGTTGATGCACTCTCTGTCAGCTAGTTACGATAGCAATGATCCCACACATACCTCATTGTTCCTCGTTCGCAATTTATCATTCACTATTGTTTATTCACAAAGAATCGTATTTCAGATGAATTCTATGTTTTAGATTTTAGGTGCATCTCGTGGGTTTGGTTTATTGTTGGATAATCGCTTTGGTTGTGACTTTCTTGGAGACAAATTCACATAACCTCATCAACAAACTTCTAGTGGAGAAAAGGCAAGCCAAATAACAATGTTTATGTGGTCAGAATATACTTTTGTACAGCATATGATAGATTGGATTCAGCACTGCTTTATCTAACAGCAGTTAAACTTCAACAGTCCGCGGTGTAGTTCTTCGTGTAGTGTTTCCTAAAAAGATGAAAGAGGAAATGTGGAGAACGAGAGGATACAGTGAAAGGCAGGTGTAGTGGAAAGGAAATGAGACCAATTCGATGAAATGCGGAGACACTTAATTAGGCACTATGC